GAAAGAGACACGGGAAGGGTAGGCATTATTTTGAGGCCCCACCTGTCAGTGTTTTCTGTTTGATTCTAGGGGCTATGTGTGTGTGTGTGTGTGTGTATGTGTGTGTGTGTGTACGTGTGTGTTGCAAGGTCTTGGAGGGGTTTTGTTGTGGCTTTCCATACCATTTGAAGTCACTAAGGTGCGTGGTATTTTACAGTATAACAGCTCTGCAATGACTCATAGTATGTTTGGTTTCTGTCTCTTCCTACTTTTCTCTGTCCTTCAGTGCCCTCTCTCTCTGTCTCTCTTTCCCTCTCTCTCTTTCCCGCTCTCTCTCTCTTCAGTATTGCTCTGTATATTGCAATCATTCAAGTTGTAATCTCCTTCCTGTGGTGTGATGTAACAAGTCACTTAAATCCCTCTGAGTAGCTCTCCATGAGAGATATTCATTCAACTCATTTTGTAATTTGGATAAAAATATTAAGGGAGTCTAAATTCACCTCTTTCCACATCATAGCTGAGTGTTTGAAGAGATCACATAAGTCAGCAGGCAAATTACTTCAGCTTTGAACCCTACCAGGGTCATCAGGGGTCATCAGGCTTGTGTCAAAATGGTCAGGATCACTGGGTGTCGTTTAGTCCCTGCTGGTCGTAACTAGAGTCTTTGCCAAAAAAAAGAGGTATAGGCCCTTTGATGTTGACGACTATGAGTCAAGTTTTTTTTGTGTTTGATGGATGCCGCAGCTCACTTGGCTGGGAATTTGCAGCCTGGCACACTGAAAGCAAAATTTATTGTGAGGAATCCGAGAGCCAATATTTAGCCTTTCTAAATATCATTCCGGAAAGATCAAACTGTAAATTAAAATGAAGCTAAGTAGTGCCAAATATAGTTTGTTTTCTTCGAGCTACCGCTGTGCTTCTTACGGTTTGGGTGTGATTGCATATTCTGATTTTGAAAGATTTTCTCTCGGGCACTTCACCTGCCAAATGTTGGAACTGGCTCGCTTTGATAAACTTGTTTATAACGTATACACTTACATCTCTTATACATCTCGACAAATTTATAACACATCTCACGAGCTAAACTCTGCACACTAAGCAACTATACTGCCAAACAGATTCATGTCCAAAACAGGCGAGCAAGATTAACTTGATTCTGACTCTCTCTGCGGCTCCACAGTGATCCTGTCAGTTCTTCAGAACATGAGCAGAGATTTATCATGATTTGCAAAACGATTTCTTTGCTACAGGCTTTTGCTGCCTGACTTCTGTATCTGTAATTATTTAATAAGCTGTCCTGTATCACATCGTGTAACTGAGCTTATTCCTACTGTATAATGAAATTGGCACCTAAGTATCAGGCTAATAGGCAAATTGGTATCTGTGCTATCATGTCTCATTGAACGGTTATTATCTAAAGTCAGCAGTGACAATGATATATGGCCATCACCGCATGCCATTGTGAAATTAAGGTTGCAGGTGCTGAGGGCAAAGTGAAGCTTGGTGATTATTTTAACAGCCACTGAAACTTACTTACACTTATGTTTACACTTTTCTCTTTCTACAACTGCTTTTTAAAATCATTACATTATTATTTTTGTGTTTTTACAAATGGATATCTACTCTTTTTCAATGGCATTTCAACAGGATACACTGCTGCAAAAAGACAACCCAGGATCAAACCTGGGATGTTTTGGATGTGAGACAGTGTTTAAGTCTCTGCCATCCTCCGGGGGTCTAATTATTGTGGAGCATATGGCCTCAAGAGGTAGACGGAGTGAAGACAACATATATGAGGCCGCGCTGTGATCCTGTATGTTATCATGTTTCATAACCTTACTTACTCCATCCAAACAAAAAGACAAGGACCCAAAAGACAAATTATTTCCCTTTCCTTGGCTCATGAACTCATTCCTACTCATGTCATATCAGCCCACACTCAAAGTTTACTCCCATGTCCACATCACTGATTGGGATTTATGTCACCAGTTCTAAGTCTAAGACTATTTCTACCATTACGGCTTCTGCGGGGAGGCCAGCTGTTATTGAATTCGCCTGACGCGCTCCACATTTGTGTTTTGTCTGGATAATCAAGGAAACCAGAAGTAAACTGATGGAAAGATACAGGCCCAAATTACTCAGGAGGAAACAGGGAACAATGAGCAATTTACGGTCGCTTCTTGTCTCTGTTCGACCACAGAGCTGGACATCATCAAGGCTTATCACTGTCATTTACATCTTTCTCTTGCATTGCCCAAGGCGCAACACCTTTGGAACTAGTTGGCTAAAAGAAATTTAGATTACACCAAGAGAGTTTCAGAGCCTTTACATATTACCCTAGCATAAGTAGCGCATATATTAATTAATATATGAATTAATTAATATGATAGATGTCTGAAGTTTGCTTCTCAGCTGCAAAGATATTATACTGTAGCTTTCTGACACTGAGTACCATTACCCTCCTTTGACACACCGACTGATCTGACACTAATTGACATGACACAGCAAGCACACATCCACCATCATAACAAAACAAAGATAGTCTAAACTGACAACTTCCCCTATCTGTCAGAGAATGACTTATTTGTAGATGTTTTAAATCCTCTCAGAGTTGGAGTTTCCCTGAAGAAACAACAATCAAGGAAACAATAGTGCTATCAGGCAGTAATAATAATAGACTGATACAAAATATACATGCAATCTACATAATAAACAGGCCTTATTGTTTAATTAATGTGATAATGATAAAAAAAAAAAAACACCCAATCAACCATTAAAGACAACGTTTTTCTTGACCTTAACATTATTATTAATCAGTGTTGAAATGAATGTTTTCAAAAACATTCATTTCAATAGAGTTTGAATGAAGTGGAAATCTACTCCAGACAAACTGTAATGTACTGTAATCCCCAAGGCTGTGGGTTACAGCAACCCTGATCCATAAAAGAAGAATCAGACTGGAAATTCCCACACTAGCCACTTCAACCAATGCTCGGCACCGGGATGAGGTAAAAGGACTTCTGAACTGTTACAGTAAGCAGGTGAACTTGAGCATGCTAGATGGTTGACTAGACAGCAAGCTCATAATGATATGAAACAATGACTTGAAGGTTTTTTTTCCTGGGTTATCCTGTTTCTAAAACTACTTTGTTATGCAATCAAAAGAGATTCGCTGATCTATTTTGTAACTGCTATAACTTAAAAAAAAAAAAAAAAAAAAAAAAAAAAAAAAAAAAAAAACATTAAAAAAGTCAATTATAATCTACTGCACCTGTATCAATCTTCTTCTTGCACATATGAATGCCCCAGCAACCAGTGAACAGGTTCACACCCTGTCTCTCCATCATTAATATTGTTTTTTCCACACAGTTCTTCTCCAGAAAAAACAACAGTGTCCTGAGCTGGAATTTCTACAGTAGTTACATGTGTTTGTATAAAATACAGCTGTAGTTGTGATAAGATATCTAATTCCCCTTTGAAACACATTTTGTCAGAATTGTTGAAATAAATATACAGTGTTTTCCTAAACGTCACACTCTGATTCAAATTACTTCCAAAAAAATGATTCCCTGTTATTATTTTTGTAATACTTGAACTGAAGAGTGACCCTTACTGCAAGTGGAGTTTATGCAAAAACCCTTTAAGCAGTCTCCCCCGGCAGAAATAAACATCAGTGTAATAATGACTGGCCACCGTTGACCTGGCCAATTAAATCAGACTGTGTTGTGCACTGCAACATTATCATTGGCCCAGTAGCACTCAACCCACCCACTATCCACCTGTTTTATTGTATAATACATTTTTATAAAAGATGGTGTAATACTTACATTAATAACAGAGAGAGATGTTTTACTCCTTTCATAGGTTTGTAGATTCATAGACGGATAGAGTCAAGCATTAACTACACTACACTACTTGTTGATATGAGGTAATAGACTGGCAATAACAACTACCCTCTCACACTAAAAATGGACACTCCAGTGTTTTAGTATTGCACTTTTATAAAGTCGTCACAGTCTGATTTAAAAAAAATCAAAGTAAAATCTGAAGCAGAATAAAACTGGAGCCAGTTGCAGCAGCTGTTTGCAAGTTCTAACATATGTGTTTGCTATAAGCGCAGCTTTACACATCAGTAAATTAAAAAAGGTTGCACCACGCACACTTGCTCTTTTCTAAATTTAAAGTGAAGGGTAAGAGAGATGGGAGTATGTTGGACAGATACTTCATAAATGTTGTTTAATGGTGATGTAATTATTAAGGGTTTCATTTATATTTCACAAAAATAACACAGCATACCTCATAACGTGACTAAATGAGTAAATAACATCAGTTAGGTTAGCAACTCATAAACTGTATGAATACTACTTACTCTGAAACACATATTTCTCCATGTATACAGAGCTGAATACACCATAGTAATACTTAGATTTACTAAATACATACCGTACCTTTTGTGTTACTAAAACTGTAATTTTTGGAAGTTATGCTAGCTTGTGATGATACAGTGACTTCTTGTTATCGGTTGATTGGACAACGCTACAGAAGTTTCCCAGCAAACGGCCGAGTAAATCATTCGTTTCAAACTAGCAACTGTTAGTCAGTAAAAACTTGGGAGGGACTTTAAATTCTAATTTAGTAATATATTTATGAATAAAACACTTGACAAAAAACCTGATCCTAAATTGCCCATGATGCAGCTGGATAGCATCTTTCATTAGACCGTCCCTGCCCTGAGCAGCTCCCTCTACAGCCTCAAAATACTTTTTTTTACATGTAGTATTCCATCTGATGATTAAACTGAACTGGATGTGTAAAATCAGTGGACTGTCCCTTTAATTTGAACATAAATCCACAAAATGCTAAGTATGTGGTCCCTCTGGGTTAACTGTGGGTGTGTGATAGGGTTAACTATATGACAAATAATCACAAATAATCAAAAATATTGTAGAAGCCATCACAGAAACACAAACACGCACACACACACACACACACACACACACATCCTCTCACTTCACACTCACCTGTCTCCCAACTCTATTGTTGTGCAGCCTCATACGGGCATGGATGTCTTTGTACGTCTCACGGGCATCCAGGAAGTCCCGCGAGAACTTCTCTCCGAATTCCACATCAGGGCTGCAGCCGCCCCACTCCCAGGAGTCCTGGGGTCCCGGCAGGTCGGCGGGAAAGTGCTCCATGACGCCGTGTACCATACCCTTCCCCCGGTGGATGGCCTCTAGCTGCAAGCGGTGTAGTTTGATGCGAAAGGCCTCCTCGTCCCCACGTCGCTTCTCATCACAGCCGCATGCCTTCAGTTTGCCCATGGAGCAGGCGTTGGCCACTGCATGCACCACGCCTGCTGCTGCGATGGCGTACGCAAAGGCACTCTCTCTAAAACCTGTGGGTGAAGGGAGACAATAGTGGTGTTAATGTATAGCACATTGTGGAAGTGTCACAATCAGGAAAGAAAGTTTGAGAAAGGAAAGAAAGAGAATATATTTTGTCAAAAAAAAAAAGAAAAAAAAAAGTATCATAACATAGCTTAGTCCATGACATGGAAGATGGAATTTACTCTCTCTAAATTGACACAGGGCTTCAAAGCCATGTCCAAAATGACATAAGTATGAGGACTGGCTGATTGACATGAGGACTGTGTCAGTGTTTGGGAATGTGCCATGTTGTTTTTAAGAAGCCGTCAGGAATTACGAGAGTTATAAGATGAAGTTTATGTAAAATGTTGAAATATTTTCGATAACCTGCAGGCACAGCATACCTGTGTGTATGCCTCATGAACCTGTCAGGTGAAATTAGAAGATTACCAGCTAAATAGATGATGGTGGATGACATGTGCCATTTGTGTCCAAATTCAAATGACTGTGACTATGGTGCGGTATACAGGTTTTTTCTATCTGTGGTGCATTTTCTATTTTTAACGCAAATAGCATCAGAATAGCAACAAAACTATTAAATTCCCCTCATTAAAGATGGATTGGAAAACTGCTGGATACAACTTTGAGATGTAAAGTGATTTTCCTAGCCCTGAAACTCACTTTAACAACAGCTAAATGAGCAAAGAAATCTTTTCACCTCTCCGTTAGCAACTGTGTCACAATGTTTAGTAAGTTTGCACTTCAGCGCACGTTTTGTTTGACACATTCTCAGCGAAGCTGTAGTAAAAGAGCTTCCTCTATTTTGATAAGGATACACATAAGAGTTTATTCACATGTTCATACACACTCATGCCAAATCCCATAAAACCAGGGGAAACATCTGGGACAATAGCAATTAAGTGTTCCAAACACTTGCGTATGTCGTCTCTGTGGACCAGCTGAACACGAACAGACCCCCACCACTCCCATCAGAGCACTCGCAGAGGACTCGTATGCTGTTACTAAACATGGCTGTGTCTCCTTCTGTCTGCTCTACTGCTTATATACAAGATATTCAGCTGTGGAAATCACTGCTTTCTACTTACATCTACCACCTAATGTATATAAGTGAGTAGAAAGGTAGCTAAATTGTTCCTGAATTTGCACTGCAGTGCTGAACTACGTTGGGTGCATTTCAGGCTTTGAATGCCTCCCTCTTTCTTCATCTGTCATGGATCTTTCCATTTCCATTTCATTGGGTCCTGGATGACTGGAATACTTGGTCACTGACTTACTTTTCTGGCTCACTGAGGGGCATCAAATGCCTGGAGTTTGATCCTTTCACCTGTTTCTGTCATATCACATCTTGCATTGAAAATTTAGGACCAGACGATGCGTTGCTGTAGCCGTGTTGCCGTGCATGTGTTCAGCTTAGAGGGCTAGATTGCGCCATATACTGTGGCTTTTGCCTTATAATCACTTCAAATTGTCCCAGCCAGACTACTGTGTGTAGAGGAGGTGGTTAAACGACTGTGGACATGCAATCTATCTATATGACGTGTGACGGCTGTTGCCTTTACAGCTAAACACATCCCTTTCTCCTTCAGAAAGTCGAACTTGCATGCGGCACATGTAATGAGCAACTCTCCCACAACTGAGCTGTAATTCAGAGGGCTAATGTTATAGTACGCTTCTCTTACACAGACACATACACACCTTTGGACCCCACTTTATAAACACACGTACACATTCACCCTGTCTATGTTGATACATTTCTGTGACAAAAAAAAAAAATCCATGTCCAATTGTGGAATCTGTGAATATTGAAAGATGAAGTGACAGCAGGATTTACACTCGCACATTTACAGTGTTTGTTGATGGATATCAGCTTACTGTCTGTGAGCATGGTACCCTCAGCTTCTATAAAAGAAGCCCCACTGGCGGTAACTTACTGGTGCAGAAAACAGTGAAGATTATAATGGAAACTTGTAAAGCAAACATGAAAAGAAACCACTTAGGGGTTTATAGCACCCCGCTTGAAGGGGAAATGATTCAGGCTGCTTGTTGGAGTCAAATAAAAAGCTAATAACTGGAACTGCCCCTTTTTAGCAATGTTTGATGTTACTTCGTTATTCACGCAGTGAAACAGAAATTTACCCACAGACCAACTGACAGTCTGTAGTTCTCCTATGCAACGCTACAGCACATATTCCTCAGTACGGTGTCACTATAGCGCAACTGCTGTATACTCGCATATGTATTTGAATGCACAGCTTATGATGAGCAATATGATGGTTAAACATATTGTCTCATTCTGAATGATCACTGCTATGCTCTGCTTAAAGATTCATGCCAGCAAGCTGAATTAGTGGTGCACAACCTGTGTAGCTTAAAGCAAAACTAAGAACACATTCAGACTGACTTTTGCACAATGTGAAAAAACTGGACTTTATGAATGCTATTTTGTTGTTTCACCAGTATCTTAAGTCACGCACGCCCACCGACGCAGCCCTTTCTGCTGTTTTAAACAACTCTCCCATTTCAATTCAGATAAATGGAGGAAGGTTTCCATCTCCAAATGTTGGCTTTTCTTGTCTTAAGTTGTATATATTCATAATGTACATCTGTACATTACAGTCAGAAAAAAGATGCAGGTGTTCACTGGCACTGTTATACTGTACAGTGTTATGTTAACATCTTATAAATTGGGCTTTGAAAAAAGAAGCAAGCAGTCTAGATGGAGACTGACTCTTAGTCAGCAAAGAATCTGATACAGTACACTACATTTCAACAGCCAGCAAACTTGTCTGTCACGCTGCAGATAAGCTGTCCTTAAACCCTCATTAACAGATTTTTTGGCCAGCCGTAAGAACAGCATTTTACATGTTAGCAACTTTTAAGTTGGCAGAGTGACTTTGTAAGCAAACAGTTGTTGTAGAGCAACATTCATTTGGTGTCCTGTTTCTGGCCATGTGACACATATAAGTCATCAAAGCTTTATTTGCTGAAAACAGCTTCATCTGAAAACACGAAAGCAGTGTTACAGTTAACTTAAAGGGACAACTATTCGTATCATACTCCACACAAATAGGCGGCAGCCTTACTACTGGAGAGTCTGGGTGTCCACCTCTATCATAAGTAACAAGTAAATGCACTCTTTGGTCCCTCCTCCTTCCTCCCCTTCCCATGTTGGGCATGCATAATTGGACTGGCCATCAGGCATACAGGGACAAATCCTGGTGAGCCGCCGCATCGATTGGCCGGTGTACAATCAAGTTTTTGCCGGCTCTCTCTGTCTACCTGTCATTCAGGTTGTGCAGGAGAGCGTGCTGTGTGCGTGTTCTGGGACTGGGCACACTGGCCAATCACAACCATGCTAATTTCAGTCTCTCTGCAATACAATACATCACGTCTTTGACATGATGTCTAAACGGTTGTTTCTTCACATTCTGTTGATAGTCTTAAAGTTAATTTTTCAATGATTTAAACTAAAATATTTAGATATTGTCAAGTTGAGATAAACTGCAAAGTCAGGTGATAAATCTAGGCACTATCCCTGTAACACAGAAGTAGTCCTTTGATTTGTTATTTTAAAAATGAGTTATTCAACATCTGATTATGTGTTTGGTTTGATACCAAAAAATACATCCCCAACATACACAATCTCCGACTACATACAGTGGGGTCCAAAGCTCTGAGTGGTCTCGGATTTTTGGACCCCACTGTGTATAATTTGACTCACCAACTCCCACTCTGCCCCTCCTCTCCTCTACCACCTTGACTCACACAGGGTGGGGGGAGCGAGAGGAATGGCACTTAGGAACATCCTCATACATAGAAAGCCTGTTTTAGCTCTAGTCCCGCTCTGAGCCGGGCTCCCCGACTCAGGCCCCCGGAAGACTGGGAACAAATCAATCTAACAAATAATTCACTGGCTGCGGCACGCCCGGCTGAACTGATGGCAGAGGAAGTGGCAAAATGAATTAAAGATTCAAAGGAAACTGTCACTTTGTGTTACAGAAACCGACTAAACAGGTTTATGCTTTTGCCACAGAGAGTTGGGAAAGTGCTGAGAGCAAATTCACAAGCACTTGCACTGGCAAGGGACGTAAAAGCATTAGGAGCAGCCCAGCGAGGGAGGACACAGACACAGTGACAGAGAAAGAGAGAGAGAGAGAGGGAGAGATTCTCCTATTTCTGTCTATCCATGTCTCGCCTGATGTCCTCTTTAGCCTAGTTTTTAATGCAAGCTAAACAAGAATGAACACGGACCTATAAAAGTTATTACAGACCATCAGCTGAGAGATCTGTGGCAGAGCCAGTGAGGATCCAAGCCGCATCTTAGACAAAACAAACTGAACTGTAAGGCACCTGATGTCCCACTCAATTTCAGTTTTACTAGAATTATTACAAGTCGTAGTGTAAACATTCCTTCACAGGCATTTTAAAAACACAGATAAACTTGTTGCTATAGTATATGAATCGTTAAGCAAAAATAGCAATTGGGTATGGAGTATATATACGCTTCGTGTGAGACCATGTTTATTTTTCTAAGCTCAGTTTCACTGAACACTTGTGTTAATCTCCACACTTCCATCCAATCCATGACTGTAAATCTGTCTCCATGAGAGTATTGCCAGTAGCTGCACGCAATAATGGCTGCAGCATGTTAACTTGCGTCAATTTTTTAGCTTCTGTGGAGTGGAACGTATCAACATGTAACATATGAATCATCTGATTTAAAGAGGTTGTTTATGTCAGTGGTTTGGAGTTTCTGCACCCGAGGCAAACCAGGGATGCCAGACAACTAGCAACTGCCTCTACTAATAATGACAAACAGCCTTTCAATGAGTCAGTGAGGAGTGAAAGTACGTCCAGAGGTGTGTAAGCATATACTGTAGTTAAGAGTTTTTGTTAAAGTACTGTAGCGGTGACAGGATACAGTCCTCAATTAGGGTTATAAAATTAAAGTTTCATGATTATATTGCGCACAGATTAAGGAGAAGATAAATTTATGGCAAAAACCCTCCAGGAAAGATCTGACACGTTTAATCAGTTAGTTTTTTTTTGTTTGTTTTTTTATGATGGGGGATTCCATCAACAGTTCATAAGGATATTTAGAGATAACTGGTTTTAACTCTCAAAACCTACATTTGCACTGCTGTCACACCAAAGCAATGATCAAACTAAAATCTAATGATAAGGTCAACCAGTGCACTATGATGCAACTGTCTAAATCTTATTTCTCAAGGATCGGACACAACATTGGCGCAATTAAAAGGGAACTCAACTCAAGAATCAAACTACAAACCACACTGTGCACCGTTCATCTAGCCAGGTGCTCAGGCTACTAAGAAATTGATGCCTTTTTCCAGTCAATAACCTGGGATGAGTCTATCTAAAGGCTTCCCAACTCTAAAGATCCTCTTTCATCCTTTGTGGCTGACTTGCAAAGCTCCAAGCACTACAAAGCGTCAGAGAAAACCGATCTGCATGAGGCTCGGTAATCTGGAGGTGACTAACTGCTTTTGAAGTTACCTGCTCTTTTGTATGGGTTATTGAGGAGACACAGTGAGATGGTTAGAAAGTAGATACCAGTCTTGTAGTCACTAAAGATAACCCAACCATTTGGAGGACCTTATTGTTGTGAGATAACATTCAAGAGTTGTAAGTATGGGGAAAATGATCTCTTTTTATGGTCTTATTTGAAGATTTACAGTTTATTATCCCAACGCTTGTTTAGGACGTGTATCTTTGTGGCAGTTAATCTTTCTAAGCCCATCCTTTCAAGGTGTTGTATTAAAGTGTATTTGAGAATGAAACCACAGCCTGTTTGAAGACCAAACTTTTGAACTTACTCAATTGTTTTTTTTTTGTTTTGTTTTTTTGTTTTTTTCAGGAGGAAGCCTGTGGTGACATCTCACCTCTGCAGCATAATGTACGTACCTCTTCTTAGCCGATAAGAGTCTGGTAAGTTTCTCGTAATGGTTCATACGTAATACATGATTTTGCAACCCAGAGTTTTGAAACACAGATTTTCATGAAAGAGAAGAGCAAAATGCCAACAAGCCAGGCAGAAACTCAAATGTGAAGTCAAATGAAATTACACATCAGGACCATCTCTAACAGTATATTTTGATATAGTGACCATAAAGCTGACCTCTTTTAAAGACTATGCTGTCATAGGGTATTTTGTTCCTAGTCTCCAGGCTGGAGCAGTTCCAGCGGTGCCCTCTGAACTGGTGCTGGCACTCGTGGATGGCAATCTGGATTCCCTGGATTGCTGAAGCCGTTACGTCTGGGTTCCGCATGCACACCTCCAGCTGGCGCCGCGTCAGCCCCGGCAGTGTCAGACACACCGTGTTGGCATTCAGGATTGGGTCAATGTTGGGGAGCTTCAGTCCCAAGATTTCATTGGAGTCTACCCTGCATGGAGCATACAGGTCAGGTTATCGACAAGAAAAACATGTAACTTATGAACCCTGCTGTCTCTGTTCTGTCCACTTCTTTTGCTATCAAAGGTCTAGTTAGTGCTGATAATAACTCCTGTTGGGTGTCACACATCAAAACTCTGTTCCCACGGTACCAGACAGGCGCCCTGACTTGATGGTCCCCAGTATAGCTGATTGCTGTAAAACCTCAATAATACACATAATGTGGGTTAATACTTGTAAAACCATCTCCAGATGCTGACAGAAGGGGAAATGCGCTCACAAATCTATTTGTTTTTTTGTTTTTCAGACTGATTTCAGTTTATGGTCCCGCAAAGTTGTCGCCAAAATAAAAAGAGCGCTATGACTGTCGACTGTCGACATGTTTTGGCAACAAAATAGCCAATGCTTACTGACAATGAATAAAACAAAATAGCTCTTGGGTCCTGCGGGTGATTTTACAGGAACGTTGTCTCATTTTAGGTTTGTGAACTTATAAAACTGCAAGAAAATGCTGATTGAAATGTATGTGCTGAAACATGAATATTTGCATTTAATGTTAATTTGGCCTAATTCAGGTTTGTCTCCCCATCATCACTTTGATGTTGATTTGACTGCGCAGGATAAAAGTTATACAGTGGAACAAGTGAGTTGCAGTGGGGAGTGAGGGAACTGCACTAGTGTGAACCAGTGTTACTAGTAGTTCAAGTGACAGTTTTATGTGCACGCAGGGAAAACAGCAACTTACCTGCCTCATAAAATCACCACAGAAAATATGTTAGCATGTAATTTCAATGACTTTTTAGCTGTAAGACGTGTCTCTTGACTTAACTGTCCCCTGCTGCTGTAACCTATCAATCATGTTATCAGTCACTAATTTAGCTGACAGCAGTCAAAGCACTTCTCGACTTCACAGAGAAACAGTCACAGCAGTAACAAGGAAAACACAGGCTGCACTGATGATGGCCTGAAACGTGCGCAGCTTTTCTTTTCATTATCATTACAAGTAAAACACAGGTTGTGTTGCGTCTCTGTGTTTGTATGACTGGGACACACAACTGCACATGCAGCGGGGAGTGTGCTCAGCTGTGGGCAAACACATACACACACACACACACACACACACACACACACACACACACACACATACACATACATATCCGTATAGCACACCCTGACATGCACACGCAAATACCCAGGTGTAAGGAGGCATGTGCAGAAACACACACAGACACACAGCTGCAGCAACTTTGCATATTTCTTTCCAGTTTTGTCAATATGTGGAACTCTTTATCAGAGCGTCTGACTCAAACATTCACAAATCACCTTGTGCTCTTTCTGAAAACGCAGCCAGCTTTGGACATAAATCAAAATCAAAAAACGCAGCTGGCTCCAACATCAAATCTTCATTTGCATGGTGGTGTCCTACTTTCTTGGTGGCATCGCATTTTGAACTGTCTGCCTCTGATTGCAGTTCGGCTTCTGTTGCTACCTGTTGTGTTTCCTGCTTTGAGAGTAGACCTGTTTCAACAGCTATGTTTCCAAAGGGCAACTTTTTACATTGTTTGGGAATGAGACAGTAGATAATTGGTAACAGAAAATAAAAATGAAAAAGTGGGCTGTTTCATTTTATATTTTAGTTATTTTATGTTTTTTTATGTGTTGACTTCAGACACACGTGTCAGCAAGGATACTGTGGGTTATTTAACTTTTACTTGCATGAATGAAAACTGACTTTTATTTTGTTAAAGTAGATTATTATTTATTCTCTAGCCTACTGTAAACTAATAATTTGGGCTATGATTAAAAAAATAGAAAATAAAATAAAACAAGATTTTAAACATAGAATCATAAAGTGAAGACTAAAGGCTTAAGTGTATTGAACCAACACAGAGATTAACTTTTTTTAGCTTGAATACAGACATCCCTCATTTATTTATCTATCTATTTCAACTCACCTTTTATCCAAGAGACAGATAACCACCAAGACGCATGTTATTCTGAGTACCGAGTGTTCCATTCTGTGCCTTGTAATTACAAAAAAAAAGAAATAAAAGTTAAAAGAAAAAGAAGAGAAGAAGTAAAAAAAAAAAAAAAAAAAAAAAAAAAGAGTTCAAAGTCCAATATTCCGCCTCAAAGTTTAGGGAGGACAAAGCAGCAGAGGGAGGTCAGGTCAGGTCCGGCTAAAAGTTGGCGCTGGACTTGACAGCTCCGACTACCCTCAGTCCAGATGTGCCAGCCAGCGGCGGGATACTCATTCAAGAAAAGTTTCATCAACCTCTCAACTCACTGAATGGAGGAGGCTGCTACGAGTTTGAGGAAAAGTCAGTCTCTCTCACGCACATCCGTACACATCCCGGTATCTCCGCCAACGAGGTCTTTGCACTGGTGTAACATCCGAGAGAGAGACGGCTGATCCAAGGTAGGCGCTCTAAATGAAGTCTGCTTGACTAGTGATTTTTCGGTGCGCACCGATACTCCTCTAAACTACTGCACTTAGCGCTTCGCCAGCCCACTTTTTTGCGTCACTCGCGAAGTAGGAGAGCGCCGAGGGAGGTCAAGTGCCTCGTTAAAGCAGGATAGAGATCCTTTTAGATAAGGCAACCAGAAACACTTAGCCTGCGCCCTCTGTGAGGGGGAGCATTTATATTCACTGGAGGAGCGATGCTGAGGATGAGGATGGTGATGATGATGATGATGATGATGATGGTGAGGAGGACTGTGTTGCAAAAGAGAAAATTACTTTTGTGTGTGAATTCATGAGGGTTTGTAGAGTTGGTGAACATGATGATGGAGATGATTATGAAGTGGAGGAGGAGATAATGAGGGACTCTTTTAGTTTATTTTAAAAACTGGTGATTTATGATGATGAGATGATGAAGATGAAAGACTATTATACTGCCTCTGTTGTTTTATTCTCAAATGAAGCCATGAGTTGGACCATGACCAACTCCTGTCTGTGTCTGCTTCTTCTCTTGCTTTAATTCATTATTTCACAATACTTCAGTAGGTATCTTTTAACACCTCCACTCACAGCGAGGCTTCTTTCCCCACTGGTTTGGCTCGAATTAAAGGGGCACTCTGCTGTGTGTTTCATTTTCATAAAGTTGTTCAAAAGAGTTTAAAAAAAAAAAGAAAAAAGAATGGTTGAAGTAGTAGAGGTGGAAATATCCTGATTTTTGTCCATAGCATAGGTCAAGCTCCAGAAATACTTGATCCTACTTCCCATAATGCATCCAACAGCGTTTTTTCATTACACCCTCTGTCACTGGAAACCCATTCTAACATAATTAGTGTATGTCACAGGCTGAGTAATACTAACCGTGTCAGGTAAACTGATCTTGTGTAAAATCAGTGAGTCATACATTTTTTTTCTCATGGGAAAAGCATCTATTTAAAAAACAATAAGATATGTATTGCAGGTCGGTTTTTATTCTGTCAAAGTGAAGACCCTTTGGTTTTTCTGTCAGAAGAGAATGAGGGTTTGTTAAAACTGTCAGCTGAAGTTCCCATTGCTCTCTAACCTTCCCTGTGTGTCATGGACTTTAATCTTTTGATTTAAATGGCTATAAAGTATAACAAAAAGCTCCCTTGTTGATGAAGACCACATGATATCACTCATCTCAGTGCTTTATGAGTAGCTTAGAATAAAGATTCAGAAACCACAAATAAAAAGGTTTTCCCCCACCAGTGGAGGGACGCAAGCATTCTGCCAGCATGGAGTCACCAGAGTAGTAAAACACTACATGAGTTTAGCATTCAGACGCAATTAAGTTGCCATACACAAATTTAGAAGATCAGGGAAACAATCCCACATCAAATTTTCTCCCAGAGGGATTTATCACAGCACCCTGATCTTGAGGATTTGGAAGGGACAACATTGCGCTTAATTATTTCAAGGCATGTAAGGAGAGCAGGCTTGTTAGTAGATTTAATGGTTTTTCTGACACTGAGTTCAGTTCTATTGAGGGATGTGTTGCTGTCGTCCCGATCTTTCTGTTTCTCTTGCTCCCATCATGACTGATAATAACATTACTTTGTGAATCACAGTTCCTTATAAACATGACTCATACATCACTCCCCTCTCTCCACTTGGAGAATCAAAAACAGCAGCAGAAGGGACCTTGACTGTGACCCAGTGAAGCAATCATGTAAACCAAATTATAAAAGGTGGTAAAGATGGTTTTCCCTTTACAGTAAAACAGTCTGGACGATACGGATTTCCACCCAGAAAAAAATTAAAATAAGTAGTTAGTCATGATAAAGCTGAAAATGCTAATGGAAAGTCAAAATTTAGAATCAGTCAGTCAAAATTCTGATAGAAAAAAGAGATAAAAACTCAAACATGCAACTTAAAACAAGAGTACGTAACTTTTGAAAGAAGAAATAAAACATTTCTCCTCTTTAAAAAGGAAAGTTGAATCTACAAGCAGACACAGCCTTTACTCTGTTCAGCACAGTCAGAGCTACAGCCTTACTTGGTCAGGTATGACCCGCTGCATATCATGGCTAAAGTAAGCCTAGCTAATGTTATCAAACTTGAGCTAGCTCCATTGCGATCCACAAATCAAAAGTCAGAAATGTCAAGTTTGTACTGTCACTGACGTCAAATGATTTACCTATTATTAAGTGAGTGTATGTTGAGGAGCTATAAACCTCAGCAGGTTCTTGTTACAAAACATTTCAGGGGTAATGACTTATGGGGCCTCATTTTTTTTTTTTTTATTAAAATGACAAATGTAAGTCCCAGCAGGCAACAACACTTTTTTACACATACATTACATATTCATGCTATGGACCTATTGCACATTATTCATAATGAAAAAGGATATCGTGCACACACTCATGCACACGCAGACACATAATACACACAACTTCCATCTGGACTGCAGCCCTCTGCCAAGGAGTTAGGTCTGCCATGTCTCTCTGTCTCTTTTTGTGTGTTTCTCCTTCTCTCTCTCTCTCTCTCTCTCTCCTCTCTCTCTCACACACACACATACACACACACACACACACACACACACACACACAGACACACACCTTTAATTGTTTCCCATTCTTCACTGGAGAGTATGTTCTTGTTCAGTTACATTCATTAACAATGATGTGGGAAACATTTCAGTGCTAGTCTCAGATCAACTTGACTCCTGTGCCTAGAGACATAAAGAATTTATTTTTGTTAAATGCTCATGCCAGGTTCATTTCATAGTTCCCTATTTTGAGCTGAAAAGTTTTTGTTTTAATATGATTTTCCTGTGGCCCTTGAAAACTTTTATTATTTTTATCTTACACTGCTCGCTCTCACCCGCTCTGCTACACGAAATATGAACCTGCTGAACATTTAATTCAATAATAAACTAAAACACAGAGTTTTCCCAATAGTGTCGGTATTTTTGTCGAGTTGCAGTGTCTGGTTCAATTGAAACTTTATTGTCCTGCAGGGAGAGACACGGCCGAGCTAAGTTTTCACAGTCTAGTGGCGAGTGCCATGTAAACACATTAGGTCATACTGTATTTATGAATATGTAGTCTATGGTCTTGTGTAGTCAGACTGTTAACTTTTAGTGTGGTAGTATAAGGGAACAGCAGAGATTTAATGCTGTACTGGAATACACTGAAATATAGGAGTTTATCTTCAGCTTTTAAATCCACTTTTAAAATTTTAGGTTCACGTGTGTCTTCAGGCCTTAATACCTTAAACGGTAAAACTGGAATTGTCATGTGGCCTTGTCCTAAAGTCTCTCACAGCAAAACAGTGATCACTTCTTGTGAAGTGATCTTCCTCTGTATTAAAAAGTAAATGCTTTGTAACTTGTAGAGTGCAAATGTAGATCATGTGTTAAAAAAAGAGCAAGACACTGGCCTTTTTTCATATTATTAAAAAAATGAGAACATTTTGAGATACACTTTTAAGCTTAGTAGGCTACCCACTGTAGACACAGTAATGGTCACATATTAAAGTGGACTAATGGACATATCAAAGGAGTTGTGCAACATATTGGGAAACACGCTTATTTGTTTTCAGGCATTAGATGAGAAGGTTGTCATGTCTGTTTGCCAAATATGAAGCTATTATCAGTAGCCTATTAGCTTAGCTTAGCTTAGCTTAGCTTAGCACAAAGACTAGAAACAGCTGCTAAAGTTTAATATGGCTTTAGTTGTGTACAGTTTAGATAAACAAGATGTAGTAGATGAATTTGTGAGCTTTAGATGTCCATTTCCTGTCTTTGTGTTAAACTTAACTAATCAGCTGGTGGCTGTAGTTTCATGCTCAGCATACAGACATGAGGGTGGTATTGATCTTCTCGTCTTACTCTTAGTAAGTGTTATTTCCCAAAATGTGAAATTGGTTTAAACTGGGTCAAAACAGTTTTTAAAAATCACTCTTGGTTATACACAGCGGCCTGATCATTTCTGTCCTGTTAACTACAAAGTTCAGCTGCAGTGCTGCTTTCATGCTCAGTTGAAAACCATGGTAACTTTGGTCTGATTACGTCTTTCACACTTGTAAAGTCAGTGGTGTTGTATAAATGGAGATGGAGTATATTACTGCCCTTTACACTGTAGAGGGTTCTCATTGTGCTATGACTTTGGTGCATTTTATACAGAACAGTAATGAGCTTCCATTAGTTTGGAGCGCCCCCCCCTTTATTGCCATGAACTTTTTAAGATTGACTTCATTGTTGCAGAAATAGCAGAGCGGGTGTCATGGTTACTTTCACCATTTAATGCACGCACAGGACCATCATGAACCCTAACCACTGTTACTCGCAACCTGGGATCTCATACATCCTGAATTAAGTAGAAGGTACAGTGATAGGATTTATGATAGGAGGTCAGAAATAATTACAACATACGGTCATTTAAAGATAGCTTGAGGCTATTTTGCTAAATCCCTCATCTTCTCTCTTTCTGCGTTTCTCCCTCATCTTGGCCTTTCTGAACCTCACTCTCCCCCCTCTCAGCACATGGGCCAAAAACACTGTGACAATACACTGTGCAGCATATTAACTGACAGAA